CCCCCCCGCGCAGCGTGGGGACCCCCCCGGAGGCAGAAGGAGCCCCCCAGGGCCGGGGGGGGGCCGGGGGTCCCTCAGTCGTCGTCGAAGTTCTGGCTGAGCAGGAAGTTGGCCGCCAGGTTCTCGTTCTTCTCGCAGGCGAAGTAGGCCTGGATCACCAGGCTCTCGGGAAAGCCCAGCGCCTTCAGCTGGGGGGGGGTCAGAATGGGACCCCCAGAACGGGACCCCCGGCCCTGCTGAACCCACTGACCCCAGGGACCCCTGCCCCGGGACCCCCGGCCCTGCTGAGGGCACCCACTGACCCCAAGGACCCCCGCCCCAGGGACCCTCTGACCCCAGGGACCCACTGACCCCAAGGACCCCTGCCCTGGGACCCCCGGCCCTGCTGAGGGCACCCACTGACCCCAAGGACCCCCGCCCCAGGGACCCTCTGACCCCAGGGACCCACTGACCCCAAGGACCCCTGCCCTGGGACCCCCGGCCCTGCTGAGGGCACCCACTGACCCCAGGGACCCCCTGACCCCAGGGACCCCGGATCTCCGTGCTGGCACCTCCTGTCCCCATTAACCCAGCCCATAATAATCCAGTTTCCCACTTCCTGTTCACTCTGGGCCCTAAAAACGGCCAATTTCCCAGCAATGTTAATTAGCTCTGGACGCTAATTATGGTACCGCCCAATAACCTCATTTCCCATTTCCCCCTCTCTGACCCCTAACACCATTTCCCATCAGTATTAATTAACTCTGGATGCTAATTATGGCACCCCCCTATTAACCCTGGACCCCAATAACCCTATTTCCCATCTCCCCCTCTCTCTGACCCCTAAAACCATTTCCCACCACTATTAATTAACTCTGGATGCTAATTATGGCACCGCCAATAACCCCACTTCCCATTTCCGCCTCTCTCTGACCCCTAATACCATTTCCCATCAGGATTAATTAACTCTGGATGCTAATTATGGCACCGCCAATAACCCCACTTCCCATTTCCGCCTCTCTCTGACCCCTAATACCATTTCCCATCAGGATTAATTAACTCTGGATGCTAATTATGGCACCGCCAATAACCCCACTTCCCATTTCCGCCTCTCTCTGACCCCTAATACCATTTCCCATCAGGATTAATTAACTCTGGATGCTAATTATGGCACCGCCAATAACCCCACTTCCCATTTCCGCCTCTCTCTGACCCCTAATACCATTTCCCATCAGGATTAATTAACTCTGGATGCTAATTATGGCACCGCCAATAACCCCACTTCCCATTTCCGCCTCTCTCTGACCCCTAATACCATTTCCCATCAGGATTAATTAACTCTGGATGCTAATTATGGCACCGCCAATAACCCCACTTCCCATTTCCGCCTCTCTCTGACCCCCAATACCATTTCCCACCAACGTTAATTAACTCTGGACGCTAATCACAGCAATTTCCCACCACTATTAATTAACTCTGGATGCTAATTATGGATCCCACCCCATATTCACTTTGGACCCTAAAAGAGGCATTTCCCACCACTATTAATTAACTCTGGACGCTAATCACGGCACCCCCCGTTCCCTGCGGGCGGCGCCGCCCCCGCGGCCGTTTGGGGGTCCCCCCGGCGCGGCCCCCAGCCCCCCGCTCACCCTCTCTATGGCTTCCTTCTCCTGCGGGGTCACCTGGATGTAGTTCATCTGGGGGGACTCGTCCCCGATGGCGCCCACCTCCCCCTCGAGCTCGCCCAGCTCGCCCAGCGGCTCGTTCAGCATCTGGATGAACTGCTCCTGGTGCTGGCTGATTTGCTGGGGGGGGGCACGGCTGTGCTCAGCTCTGGGGGGCTCAGGGGGGGCTCCAGGGGGGTCTGAGGGGGTCTGGGGGGTACCTGGAGCAGCTGGGGGTTCTCCTGGCCCAGCTGCTGCAGCAGCGCCGGGAGCAGCGCCGGGTTCTGCTGGATCACCTGGCGCATGTTCTGGAACTGCGGCTGCTCCCGCAGGAACTCCAGGGGGTTGTCGCCTGGGGGCGGGGCCGGCAGGTGAGGCCACGCCCCCAACGGGGCGGGGTTAAATCACAGCCACCGTGGGGTGTGACAGAACCACGCCTACAATGTGGCATGGATAAACCACACCCACCATGGAGCATGGATAAACCACGCCCACAATGGGGCACGGATAAACCACAGCCACCATGGGGCGTGGATAAACCACACCTACCATGGAGCATGGATAAACCACAGCCACCATGGGGTGTGGATAAACCACACCCACCATGGGGCATGGATAAACCACGCCCACAATGGGGCACGGATAAACCACACCCACCATGGGGCGTGGATAAACCACGCCCACAATATGGCACAGATAAACCACACCCACCATGGGGCGTGGATAAACCACACCCACCATGAGGTATGGATAAACCACACCCACCATGGGGCGTGGTTAAACTGCACCCAGAATGCTGTGTGAATAAACCACACCCACAACAGAGCATGGATAAACCACACCCACCATGGAGCACAGATAAACCACACTCACCATGGGGCATGGATAAACCACGCCCACCATAGGGCGCAGATAAACCACAGCCACCATGGAGCACTGATAAACCACACCCACCATGGGGCGTGGTTAAACTGCACCCAGAATGCTGTGTGAATAAACCACACCCACAACAGAGCATGGATAAACCACACCCACAATGGGGCGTGGTGAGACCACACCCACCATGGGGCATGGATAAACCACGCCCACAATGGGGCACTGACAAACCACACCCACCATGGGGCACGGATAAACCACACGCACAATGGGGCGTGGATAGACCACACCCACCATGGGGTATGGATAAACCCACCCACAATGGGGTGTGGTTAAACTGCACCCAGGATGCCATGTGAATAAACCACACCCACAGAGGAGCAGATAAACCACATCCACAATAGAGCACGGATAAGCCACACCCACAATTGGGCGTGTATAAGCCACACCCATAATGGAGCACAGATAAACCACACCCACAATGGGGCGTGGTGAGAACACACCTATCCCCCCCAACTTTAGCTGGATGGGGTGGGGCCACATGGACTCATTCCACCATCACAGGCCACGCCCCAAAATGGGTGTGGCTTACACAGATCACACCAAAGAAGGGGTGTGGCTTACCCCAGGCCACACCCCAAAATAAGTATGGCTCACCCAGACCATACCCCCAACAACAATTTAGGAGCACTTAGCTCCACCCACCAAAGGGGTGGAGCCTCAGGCAGGTGTGGCCACCCAGCCCCACCCCTCGTGCCCCGCCCACCACGCCCCCTGACCTTCGGGCGGGGGCTGCTCCGGGGGGCGAGACTCCTGCACGGGCGGGCGCTCGGGCTCGGGGCTGCCGGGGATGCCCTGGGGGGGACAGGGGGGGTCAGTGTCACCCCCAGGACCCCCAGACCCCCCTGCTGGACCCCC